GAGTAATTTTGCAGGGCTCGATGGTTTTGAGGAACGGATGAGCGGGAGCCATATCTTTGGAGGTTCACCAAAAGAAGCTTGACATGAGATTTGGGGTTTGTTGGAAAAAGCTTGAAATAAGATCTGGTGGTGTTCTGGTTCTGATGGAAAATTCTTATATCTAATTTGATGTTCTTGATGAATTTTTGGGGAAGAAACCATTAAAGAGCTTTTGTAAAGGTAAAGTAATGAAAAAGGAATGGGCATGAACGAGAGAGAGAGAGAGAGAGAGAGAGAGAGAGAGAGTATTTTACTTTCCTTTTATTTTTAATTATTTTTAATTGTTGTAATAAAAGAAAAATGAAAAAATAAATAGTAAGGGGCAAAATTGTCTTTATAAAAAAGTTTAAAGCAAATCGGATCAAACTCGCAACAAAATGAAAAGTTTGAATCACTGGTGCTAGTCCAAACTTTTTTGGACCAAAGTGACAATTTTCAGCTAACCACAGGGACTATTTGTGCAGTTTAGTCTATAATGTATTGAATACATTAAAGTCTCATTAATTTTAATAATTCAAAAAAAAATTTCATTTTTCTTTTAAATTCAAACTTGTCAAATTGTTAAAATTTTATATTTGTTTTTTTTTAATTAAACACATGTAATACATGGGTCTCACACTTAGTTCATATAAAAGCTCAAATACATTTTAAAAAATTCAAACACGGTAATGTTATTTTTAAATAGATAATAAAGACAATACATTTAAAAAATACAATATTGTAACATATATTACAAAATTAACTTTTATCTACAAAATGCATTAGCTGATTATTTATTGAAAATTTATTCCAGCACATAATACGTATTAATTTTTTAATGTACGTGTAATAATTCTATACAAATATGTGTCATATTTATTTAAAAATGTGTTATTAATGTAATTTTTTAATTTAATGAAGTGTAGGATAGTGCTTCATAATCTTGTCATGAATATAAACTTATAAAGAGCATATACGACAACACTGCCCTATTAGAAGGTTTGCATTTTGCATGTGTGTAAAAGACAAAACACTACTAGAAACTTGAGTTCCAGCTACTGATTTAGCGATGGATAAACTCTGTAGCAAAGTTTTAGGCTTATAGCTAGGGATTTACAACAGATCCGCCATATTTTAGATATTTACTTTATTTATTCAACATATTTCATATTTGCTAGGATTTATCGAAGGATCAACTACGGATCTTGCAAGTGTTTATCGATGCACACCACTCCCTTGCTAGTCGGTCGAAAATCAAGGCATTTCAGCGAGGGTTCAACGACAGATAGAGAAATTATCGAATTTTTTCCATCTATGGTACACGTTTAGCGAGAGATCGCCGACAAAAATTAGATTTGGGGTACGCACGTTTCTGTTTTACGATCGCCAATCTCTCGCTGAAATTAGCGCAAACCAATTCCAATTTCACGAAATTGTTGTAAGTTTTCTTCCCTCCTAAATCCGCTTTTATCACTCTGGAGTAAGTTCCTATGCCATGTTAACCTAATAATATCACCATCTCCGTTCTAACAGATGATGAAACAACTCACCACTGTTGCTTTCAATTCCGACAACCTCCATAAAATCTAAAAGTAGTTTTCATTAACTTCTGATTTAGGTAAATCGCTTGATTTTCTTTTTTTAGTCCTATATTGGATTTAGGTTTAGTTTAGTTGCACAATATATTACGTTAGGGTTTAATTTCCCCCTTTTTTCTGTTTCAATTTTCATCCCTATTATACCTCAGCATTACATGCACGATCACCTTGAATCGATTGCATCATGTAATTAAAATCTTGATTCCTTGAATCTCATCTTCTAACTTGATATTTTCATTCATCTCTTGAATGTTGTCTCCAATTCAGTAGTTTATGTAGTCAAATGTAGCTTTGACTATGTTTGTCTCCAATTCAACAGGTTCTGTAGTCAAATGTAGCTTTGTTTGGTGTTTCTGAGCTTCCCTCCACTTGTTTTCAAGTTTCTCTTCCGATTTTTATTTCCTCACCATCAAGCTTTAAAGGTACATCTTCATTAGATAGAGACACATAATAATACCTTATATGATAAGCAGGATGATAGAGATTCAATCAAGCAATCCTCCCATTCATTGTTTGTCGTGCATGCATCTCCAAAGACATGGATTTCATCGTATCATATCCAAAAAAAGTTTCCAGGTTCTTCTCACAGACTTATCATTCATTCATTCATAAAATTTGGTTTTCAATCTCATAAAATGCAATTACTTTTCCTTCTTGTCATATAGTCATTATCTCAATAAATGATGATAAGAAGCACTCTTTCTATAAATATTAATATGTTTTCATTGATCTGATGTATGCTCTTTAGTTACATATTCCATAATAAACTAAATAGGAATGTAAGTTTCCATGAGCTCTGAATTAGTATCTCTAACTTAGATTTTTGTACCCTTTTGAACTAATATTCAACAACTCCTCTGAATCATTATGTATTGTTATGGTTACATCATTGAAATCTTAAATTTTTTAGGTATAATGTGTGTTTATGGTTGTCCATTTCTAGATATGTATGCATATGATTTTGGATATGTTTTAGTTATTTAGGAAGTTTCTCATTGCGAATTTATGTGGGTTTATGCTCTTTGTTTTGGTGATTAATTTCAGGATTTGATGAGAAACGATCCATTGACAAATGGTAAGCAGAATGATCTTGAGCTTGGAGATGTAGTGACGGTAATTTAGTGTTTCTTTCTACTTCCAATTTACACTCCCCAACTGTTTGACATAATGCCTAAGTGAAAGTCATGTTAACTTTGTCTATGCAATTCCAAACAGGCTGCAAATGTGAGTTTTTTCAAACTTCTCTCTCTGGTAAGTGTATGTTACTTCATCATTTTGTTACTTTCAAATGCTGAATTATATTTTTTGTGAAGATATTAAGTTGTCTATGAAATTCCAAACAGGCTGCAAATGTGAGTTTTCTCAAACTTCTCTCTCTGGTAAGTGTATGTTATTTCATCATTTGTTACTTTCAAATGCTGAATTATTTTTTTGTGAAGATATTAAGTTGATTATTAATCACTTAACAGGCAAAACCAAAGGCGGGAAGATTTGATCAGTGGTACTATCGCTTTGTTGATTGCATCCACATCAAGTATCCTGATTGTATGTCTACATCTTCTCATCTCCCTCAACATAGTTTTGTTTTTCAAGAAAAATAATTTTGTTTTTATTACATTTCAACCAAGATTTGGTGGGACATAATCGATAGTGTTTTAGGAGATCTCCAAACATCAGAACAAAATAGTGAAGCAGTTAGCTTAGTCAATAGAAGCATACTAGGAATCATTCTTATTGTTAACTTAATTTTGACTCATTTGATCGATTCCTGTTTTCAGTTTAGTCTGCACAACATGTCAAGCATGGTTATTTTCTTCAGCAAGTGAAAGAATTGTTGATGCCTTGAGAAAGAATCTTTTCACCCATCTTGTTAATCAAGTAAAAATCACTTTTTTTTTTCAAAAAAGGAAATATATTTTATGCCCCTTTTGTCAAGACTCAAGATTCACTTACCCTTTTGCAGGAAATAGCTTTCTTTGATGTTACAAAAACAGGGGAGGTAACATGTAAGACCAACATTATCTTAAAAAAATAAACTTGCTGCGACTTAAATGTTTCTGAAATTTTAAGGAATCTTTCTACTGCATTTGTTGGTATTGGGTTCATATACCACATCGTGGAAGCTAACATGTAAGACCAACATTACCTTAAAAAAAAGAAAGTTAAAATTTTTTTTAACATAAAAACTTATTCATCTTTTTCTTGTTATTAGTATTGGCTAACATGTACGCCAAGTTGGACGTTAGCTTCTTGAAGTATCCCACAAAGCTCAAGCTACTGCATCGGTTGCTTCCTCAATTACTGAGGTGTGTATTGACCACTAAAACTCATATATCTATTTTTATAATACTAAAGTAATTGCTATCGCATCCAACATTCTTTTCTAACCAAAGTTTTTATGATTATGACAAGATCCCAAAAAGAAAAAAATTTACAATTTTACTTTTATTTTTTTATAAATTTGCAGAAATCTTTTGGTGTTCTACGCACCGTAAGATCTTTTGAATGTTTGTTAACTTTGATATTTGATGTTTTTGGTAAACTTTGATATATATGTTTTTGGATGTTTTGATAGTTTTATATTGTAATGTTAATGTTTAGTTTTGGTTGTATGGCTATTTGATGGTTTTTTTTTTTTGTATAATAATTTGATTATTTTAGTATTTTTGTTTTAGATTCATAATAAAAAAAATGATATTATATGTTTGTGACAGATTAGCAATGGAGAAAAAAAATATTAATATATGAATTTTGCTAGGGATTAGCGACAGAAAAAAAAAAATCATGTCTAAAGTTTGCAAGGGATCAGCTATTGAAAATGAAAAAACATGACTGAAAATTTTCGACGCCTTCAGCGATGGAATATGAAGATTTGCGACAGAACAGCAACGGAATGTTGTTATACAATTTTGTCGCCGATGTCCTGACGAATTGTATTGAGTGACCATTTAGCGATGGATATTCTGTCGTTAATTTTGTCGCAAGGAGGATCTGAGCCGTCGCTAAAACCCTTGCTAACTCATTAGCCACCTTTTAATTACCTATGGAGTGCATCTGTCGCTGATCCATCGCAAACAACAATTAGCTACAGAATTGCGACAGATTTGTCCGTCTCTAAAACCCATGTTTCTAGTAGTGAAAATCCCATATCAAAATCTTGCAAGAAAAAAGAACTAAACTACTCAGAGTTAGAAAATGAATATTCTGTTTGCAACATTTTAATTTATTTTATACTGTTATAAAATATTAAATAAATTAATAGAATAAGAAAGCAATCACCTTGCATAATATATTAAATTCCACAACTTTATTTACACCATATATCAAATTCAAATTTAAAGCTTTAGAGGTTGTATTCTGATCATGAAAGTCATCACAAGTTCTTTAATGGTGTTCTTTTCCAAGCTTCTCTTTCTTCCTACTCTCTTCCTCTTCATCAACATGTAAATCATCATCAATTGTAATTGCAACTGTCTTCATGCCATTTGGACCTTGCACAACATTCTCCCTCACCTTCAAATGCTCATCAATATGCACCATTTCAGTTTTTTCAGACATCTTGCTGCATTTAGACTTCTTTATGACGTAACATAAAGCAAATAAAATGGGTACTAGAAAGAAAACACAGCCAAACGACACAAAAACTACCAATATGACCTTCATTGTTGAATTTCTCAATTTCTATGTGAGGATTGATTAAATTTTGTGGGGTTTTGAGAAGAGTTTGATGTGAATATAGATCTTTGAAGGTTGATTATTTGTAGTAGAGAAGGTTGTAGGTATTGTGTTGCAATAGCACATGACTTCAAAGTTTCCCAAAACTTGACTTCACTCTAATGTTAAGCAAGTTAGTTGATTGCATTGTAGAACACTTCTTAAGATCTAAATGTCACTTCATTTTTTATTGTTCTAAGTTAACATCAATCATAAACAAAACTCGCAACATTTTTTCCCATGTATTACAAACTCATGTAAAAAAAATCAACTTGAAAGAATGAATGTTTCTCAGGTTCTTAATACCTTCATCTTACATTATATAAGTTTAGTTGGAGGGAGGCCTATATGAAGTTTTTAAAAGAACCAAGTAAGTAAGAAGAAGAATTTAGGTCAATTGATGAACATGAACTTAATCAGTTGGATTTTCCTTCTTAGTGATGAGATTTGGGACACCATTGTTGTTGTTCCCAGAGGATCCATACACGTGTCCCATTTTGGCTCTTTTGGTCTCAAGGTATCTTTTGTTGTGTTTTGTAATTGGAGTCAAAAGAGGAACTCTTCCTGCAACTTCCAAACCATATCCCTTCAATCCACTGTATTTAGCAGGATTATTTGTCATCAGCTTCATTGTTCTCACTCCCAAATCTCTCAATATCTAAACACCAAAAAAACAAGATAAAGTGATTTCATCAAAATTACATACAAACAGTTAAATGTCTAAACTACCCTTCGAAAAATAAATAAATTACTATACCTGAGCACCAATTCCATACTCCCTAGAATCAACAGGCAAACCAAGCTCCTCATTAGCTTCAACAGTGTCACGACCATCATCTTGCAAATTATAAGCACGAAGCTTATGCCCTAATCCAATCCCCCTACCCTCATGACCTCTCAAATAGACCAAAACGCCCCTTCCCGCCTCTTCAATCTGTTGCATTGCAAGTGCTAATTGGTTCCCACAATCACATCTTGCAGACCCAAATATGTCTCCTGTTAAACATTCCGAATGTACCCTTACAAGAATCTCATTCCCATCACCAATCTCACCCTGTTTTAATTTTAATCACACCACATAATCTTTTATTACTTTACAATTCACTTTCTATAAAAAGTTAAAAACAAAGCCAATTTTTTATTTATCTTATTACCTTCACCATTGCTATATGTTCCATTCCATCTAAGATTGATCTATAACAATACGCAACAAATGGGCCCCACGTAGTAGGTATACGTGCAGCAGAAGCACGTTCCACTAGTTTATCTGTCTTCCTTCTATACCTGCAAATTTATATAAATGTCACAAATATATTCAACTTTTTAAAATAATGTCATTTTATATCTTTCAGCTAGTTTTTACCTGATAAGATCAGCAATAGATATAAGCTTTAAGTTCTCCCTTTTGACAAATTCGCGAAGCTTTGGCAATCTAGCCATGGAGCCATCATCATCAACAATCTCACATAAAACAGCTACAGGATCAAATCCAGCTAAAACTGCTAAATCTACAGAAGCTTCAGTATGTCCAGCTCTTTTCAAAACACCACCTTCTCTGTATTTCAATGGAAATATATGTCCCGGGCGGTTGAAATCACCGGGCAGTGAATCTTTAGAAGATAAAGCTTTAATGGTGGCTGCCCGATCTCGGGCAGATACACCAGTAGTTGTGCCATGTTTTGCATCCTATAAATCAAGAATAGGGTTCTAAATTTCTAATAAAAATGACAGCTTTTTTGAAAGAAAATGTGAAATAAAAAGTTTAGACGTACGACTGATACTGTGAATGCTGTGGAGAGCTTTTCTTCATTGTCTTTGTGAGTTACCATTAATGGAAGCTCCAAACGATCCAAATCTTCTCCTTTCATGCTTACACAAACAATCCCAGTTCCATGTTTGACTATAAAAGCCATGGCTTCTGGTGTGACACATGATGCTGCCATTATCAAATCCCCTTCGTTTTCTCTGTCTTCATCGTCTACTACAACTACCATCTGCAATATAAAGAGAAATTTTGGAGGGAAAATTGGATATGTTTATAGTTTGTTAAATAAGGAATTGAAGTGTACAAACCTTTCCTTGGCGTATATCTTCAATTGCTTCTGGAATGGATGAAAAGCCTGTGGTGGGTTGATCTAAATCATATTCATCAGCTTCATTAGAGAAACTGTTCATGGTAGGAGTGGTTTCAGCTGATAGTGTACCCAAAGCTATTGAATCAGGTTGTATCAGAATTCCAGATGATACGCTAACACCATTAATGCTTTTCTGATTAAAACCACCTTCTAGAGGTAATAGTGAAGCTCTGAGTCTACCATCGGGTTTAGTTTTGGAGAATGATTTGGTAGTGAGATGGAGAAATGTCTCTGATGTATGCCCATTGGATGAGATGAGATTTACAGAGTGAAGACTGTTGTATGAGCTGAAGTTTGTGATCATCCTGCAGCATAGGTGGTCAATTATGAGATGCAATGGCACAGGTTTTGAAATGATGAAGATTATATTTTATACGTTGCAGTATTTTGTAATGATTAACAAGGGTGAAAATGTGAAATGGAACTTGCTACTAAAGAAAATTCTCTATCACCAAAAAGGAAAAAAAAAAAAAAGTATTGCATGGGGTAATTGAGATAGCCTTTTGGTACTTATAGAACATCCGATGCCGAACCTATCTATAGGAATCGGAATCAAAGCATCTTGAATTGAAATTTGAACGTAATTAGCTTCAAATGGAATTGAAAATCTCGGATTATATGTTCAAAGCACTAGCTTGAAATTTCTGTATTTGGAACTATAACGCTCAAATCGTATACCTGTTTGGTATAGATAAAAATCAATCATAAAATAACAATAACCGGTTCTTTTGCACTACGAAATAGAAACAGAGATCCAGTGGTCTGAATCGATAAGAAATTTCTCAAATCAACATTAATTCGAACGAACCCAAAAAGCTCGCAAATAAACTAAAATCCAGAAATGAAAATTCCCAATTGATTTCAATAGAAGCACGCATTAATCAGCATCAAATTAAAGAGGATAACAAGATAGAAAAACGGGCAGAGATGCTTACTTTGAGCGAAGTAAAGATGTGGATGCGGAAGACATGTTAATGGAAGCCATTAATCTGCTTTAGATGAATCTAGAATTGGATTATGTTTGCGTCCCTAAATTGAAGAAAAGGGGAATTTGATGTAGTCAAGTGCTGCGAAAAAGAACCCAAATTGGTGGGTGTTTTATAGATGATAGATAGGACGAAAGAGACAAGTAGTGGAATGGAAGAAGAGGAAGTAACAACTTGGAAAGAACGGGTGTAGAAACCCGAACGTGTTTGCGGGTGATACTTCACCATGACCCATGAAGGAAATCCTCATAAGAGTTTTGAAATTTTGATTATTATTATTATATTATTATTATTATTATGCATAAAATTCCTAAAATTTGCAATTCTAAAGTCTAAGTTTTTATCGGTTCATCTAAAGTTTAAGTCTGTTGATGACTCAAATTTATAATTTTTTTTTATTGATTTTATACCTTTTTATAAATTTATCTAGTAAAACTGATAATTTTTATCAAACTTAAGGGTAAGGTTATGTATGAGATGGTTTGGTTCGGTTATTAGTCAAAACTGAATCATAACCATTACAATTGGCTAATGGATTTCAATAACCATTGGGTAGCGGTTAATATTAGTTTTGGTTAACGGTTATATATATATATATATATATATATATATATATATATATATATATATATATATATATATATATATATATATATATATATATAGGGTTAAGTTGAAATGAAAACACTATTTAATGTGAGAACGTGAAAACACTACTTTATGTTACTATTCTACTATGAATTTAATATGTATAGTATTGTAATAATTATAATATGAATATATTCAATTTTGTATTACTATTCTACTATAATATATATATATATATATATATATATATATATATATATATATATATATATATAGTAATTTAGTAAATTCTAATGTGAATGTTAAATATGTGATTGTTCATATATTCGGTGATGAATAATGTCATAAAGTTGTACATACAAAATTTTAATGTGAATATTAGTGTGTGATTGTTCGTATATTTGTTGATGAATAATATCATATCGTTGTATATACAAAATTCATAGTAGAATCTATATATCTATATCTATATCTATATTTGTATCTATATCTATATATCTTATAAAACTAGCATTTTTTCTTTCACCACATTCATTTAAAACTCTCATGTATTTTTCCTTTAACTACATTCATTTGAAACTCTCATGACTTTTCAATTTCTTCCTAATAATGGTTATAAGTTGGTTAATAAGATTAAATAAATATCAAACATAAAATGTAATCATATACAAACTAAATTTTAATATTAAAAGAATATATTTACTTCTACTTATAAAGTTATGTTTTTTAACTTTTAACATATTATAATTTATTTATTAGTTTTAATATATTGTTGGGTGTATACCATTATTTTTTTGAAGCTACAATGTTTGAATAATTTGTATAAAATATTTAAATTATAAATTTAAATATAACATTATTGGATCAACTTAAATATAAATTTTAGCTAACATTAAATAAACCAAATAATATTTTGTAAATAGTTAAAAGTGATAAATTGTAGTATCTTTCTAATAATGATTATAAGTTGATTAATAATATCAAATAAATATCAAACCAAAAGTGTAATCATAAATAAATTAAATTTCAATATTAAAATAACAACTTTACTTCTACTTATAAAGTTATGTCTTTAATTTTTAACAAATTATACTTAATTTATTTGATTAAGATGTTATTGTATGTAAACCATTACCAATTTGAAGCTACAATTTTTGAACAGTTTGGACAAAATACTTAAATTGTTAATTTAAATATAAAATCACAGTTTCAACTTAAATATAAATTTCAGTTCCACTTAAAAAACCCAATGAATATTTTGTGAATAGTTAAAAGTGATAAATTGTAATGCTAAATGCAAAAACTGAATTATAATCTCAACTTAACTAAAATATTTCCTAAAGATATTTGTATAATCGTTAAAAGTTTTCAAATAAGTAGCTTAAAATAACTTATAATAACAATAGTTAAATATAACTCTATATAAATGATTATATTGTTACCTTTAATATCAAAAAACAATGTTGGATGTTTTAAATAATTATAATGAGAAAGTAAAATGTTAAACAAATAAATTTGAAAAAAATAATTAACAATAACAAGTACTATAAATAATATTAAACCATATATTATATTTAATTTTATTACTGAGTAACTCACGGATAGAAGTCATTCAAACGGTTGAGATAATGCAGTTATAATAGATGTATATATTATCATATAATTCAAAATAATTAATATTTTATATCAATTTAGTATAAGAATTATTATATCAAATTTAATAACAACGTTATTTTTATATTTAAAAAGACATATTTTTAAAGATTTCAACTATATAGGTGCTTCTGTGCAACGCGCGAGCATTCGCCTAGTAGTAACATAAAGTAGTGTTCTCACGTTCTCACATTAAATAGTGTTCTCATTTGAACTTAACCATATATGTATATATATATATATATATATATATATATATATATATATATATATATATATATATATATATATATATATATATATATATTCAAAATCAAATAAGAAAGGAAAAGTTTGATAAGAATTTGTGAAACGTTTTATATACATTTTTTTTAACAAACAAACAAAATAAATCGTTAGATGATCTACAATTAAGATGTTCATAAAAAAATTCCCCAAAAAACACTTAGCATGATTCACTTTTAAATAAATCAAGACTAATTTCATTTTTCTAACAATTTTAGTGAATATCAACAAAATCATTGTAAAAATAATCATCGAGATGTTTTTTCGTGAAATTTTTGTGAATCATATTATTTTTTATTCATCTAGTGATTTATTTGTTTTGTTCGCCAAAAAATATGTAGAAAAAAACATTTTATAGTGGTTCGGTTCTATTGATAGTGGTTTTTTGCTAAATATGTTCACCCCTACTTAAGGGCTTCAATGAAAGGTAAAACCGAACATTTATGCCACACATAAGGACTTTAATAAACCAAATGATAAATTTATTTTAAAAAAAAAAGCCGGTTTTAATGAACCTAAAAATCGCAAAATGGTAAAATCGACAAAAACTTGCAAACTTAAAGGTTTTTATGTTATTATCCCTAAGATGTAAGGGAAATTAGGTAATTTAATCATTATAAACGGGTTTTTCAAAGAAAATAACTTTTATTTTCAGTTTATGAAAAATACCTATTTTCTTCGGGATGCCCTCATTCCAAAGTATTGTTTATATTTCGGAGATTATTTTTCAGAAATCTCTTTTTTTTTATTACGAATGTTACATTTTGAAGTGTTCAATGACAGTGTTTTTAAATAAAATATCTAATATTATTTCATATTCCGGAGATTTTTTTTCAAAGAAATGTCTTTTTTTCTGAATGTTACATTTTGAAGTGTTTAATGTTACCGTTTTTAAATAAAATATCTAATTGTATGCACTAATATTGTATATTGTTCATATTACTATGTTTGTTTAACTTTTTGTTAGGTTTAAGTAAAAAAATGATTTTTTATTAAAATTTTAGAATTGTTCATCGGATTTTGTATGTGTTTTTGAAATTCCAGAGTTTTTTATTTTAAAATCCAAATTTTCAATCTGGAATCCGGAATGTTGGTACAGAATTTAGTCTAAAATGTATTTTTTTTGTCAAAATTTTCAAAATTTGAAAAAAATATATATAATTTCAAAAACAAGTTTGAAATCCAATGAACAATTCTGAAATTTCAAGAAAAAATTTTCATTTTTACTTAAATATAACAAAAAGTTAAAGAAATATAGTAATGTAAACTATATATTATATTATGACATAAAATCAAACATCTTATTAAAAAATATTGAAATTTAGCACTTTGAAAATGGATATTCCGAACATATGTAGAGTGTTTTCTTTGGGGGAAAATTGGAAAAAAAATAATAATAATAATAATAACTTTGAACTATGAAGATCAATTCCAGAATTGAGCATTCAGGAGTAAGTGATCATTTTTTAAAAACTAAAAAAATGGTTATTGTTAAAAATTTTAAAAATTAAAACTTATAAAAGAATTAAAAAAAACTCATTTATAATGGTTAGTTTACTCGAGATTTAAAGTAGAAATAATAAATTTTAGCCTTTGTTTATATTTAGTTGTTAAACTTATATTTGTGTTTGATATAACATAAAACTTGTTGAAATGATTTAAAAATTATCTCGGTATGACATGGTATATTGGATTTTTCCAATTTTCGATGTCTTTTCCGGCTAAACATGAATTTTTTAGTAAATCAATATTTTTCTCGTCATCTTCTATAGCCAACTTTGAATTTTACATTCATTTCTAGGTATGTTCCCGAGCTTCAAAACCATGGCAGATCTGTTCGTTAGATTTTTATATACTTTTTTGGGTTTTATTCATATGTTCATCAAATTTGTTAAAAACCATGACAATCTATTCATCAAGCTCATCTGATCTTTCCATCATTAAGTTTTTCTTGAGTTTTAGGGTTTGTGCTTGTGCTTTAAACCCATTAACACAAACATATAAATAATAAACACAAACACCCCCCTCCCCCCCCCCCAACACACACACACACACACACACACACATATATATATATATATATATATATATATATATATATATATATATATATATATAGAAAGAGAGAGAGAGAGAGAGAGAGAGAGAGAGAGAGAGTTTGGTTTTTTTCTTGAGCTTCAAAGTTCAAACCCATAAACACTTTAATAAACACACACGAATTTCAAACCATAAAAGCTATTTCTCGAATTTCTAGTTTTTTCTCGAATTTATGGGTTTGTTCTTGAGCTTCAAGCTCATGTGCATCAAGTTCATCAGATTTATTCATCAGTAACATAACATTATCCTATATATCAGGATACCGACCTAACCAGTCACTAAACATATCACCATGACACCATCCTAACTACCATGATGTAAATTAATAAACATATCATGCAAATAACCTGGATACAAATCCAAAAAGGGCCGACATTGGTGCTTTCGACCCTATTAGTATAGTGTGGACAACTCACCTCACAAGTAGCTCGGAATGATAATGTCAAACTCCTACAAATACAACTCCAAATCCAACACCTACATCTACCAATGATCCACTCCAATAAATTCTCAAATTACTAAAATACCCCCAGAAGTCAAACTGGTCAACCCTTGGTCAAAGTCAAAGTTAACAGTCAAGGTCAACAGTCCATGTTGACCCAACTCGTCGAGTGCAG